AAAAGCACCACTTTTCTCTCAATACCAAGAAAAGTCATCAACAGAATGTCACTGAACAGAATGAAAGATTCAGTGGATATCCAACTTCAAAATCAACAGGCTGAATTCCGTAAGGACCGATAGCGTAACGACCGAAATTCCACACTACGGATAATTGTGCAACAATAAATTGAATGCAGCTCATCACTATACGTCAACTTCTCTGAATACGAGAGGTTATTTGATAGCGTGACAAGAGAACATTAAGGCAACTACTTCGACGCTGTGGTGTATCTGAGAAGAGAGTCAACATCATACGAAATTCTTACAATCGACTACAGTGCAACAGCGTGCATAGGGGACAGTCAGGAATTGTTCTCAGTGAAAACCGGTGTAAAACTAGGTTGCTTACTCTCACCTTTTCTCTTCTGGTGATTGTCTGGATTACGAATCTGAACGGAAAGCAAGCAATTTAGTGAACAGCTCTGATGAAACTTGACAATTCAGACTTCGCAGACGATCTAGCTCTTCTGTGCCACACACAGCAATAAGTGCAGAAGACGGTCAATGTAACAGCAACCTCTGAAGCAGTAGGTTTCAACGTACACAATGGAAAAACCAAAATCATTCAGTACAACACGGCCTGTACCAATCAACTCGCACTTTATACATAAGCTTTAGAATAAGTGGAAATATTTAAATAACTGAGCAGCACCATTGATAAGCAAGGTGGATCAGATGTGGAGGTAAAGATACGGATTCGAAAAGTAACGGAAGTATATTAAGAATTAAAGCATATCTGTAACTTAAAACAAATATCATCCAACACAAAATGTTGGATTTTCAATATTAACGTCGAAACCATTCTATTGCATGGAGAAAACACTTGGAAAATTACAAATGCTATCATTCAAAAGATGAAAGTGTTTATTAACAGTTGTCAACTGAGAATACTGAGGATCCGTTGGCCAGATGCCATGCGCAGCAACCTACTGTAGCAGAGAACAGACTAGATTGCATCTGGAGGAAGGAATTAGGAAAACACTTTGCAGCTAGATAGGACACTCATCGGTTGCCTATCCTCTTCTGAGGGGTAACAGACGTAATTAAATTAATTCATGCATGGCAAATCAAATGAACCAACACAGACAGCAACATACTGTTGATCAGTCATTACTATAAATTTTGATACATTTCTGTTAAAATTGTAGTACTGAAGGGTAAGGAAAAAATTAAAATTATTCTTTACAACAGCTTAATCTTTTTTCTACTCAAAAAGTAACTTTCAGCTAAAAGTTAGTCTTCTCTTTTTATAGCTAAATTACCTAAATTTATTAGTAACATAAATCCAGTTATCAAAACTCCTAAACGATATAAATTCATCGTCAAAAAATGTAATATTCCGTTTTTATGAACAATATTTCTTACAAAATATTGTTCGTAAGCGGCGAAATGACATACTTTAAGTGATTTTATCATTCAATCAATTTTTTGTCTGTTAAAAAAAATAAACTTCAATTGAAAAATCATTGGCTCTACAAATCATTTTTAATATTAATCGGCAATAATGTGATTCGTTGACGTTATAATACAGATATGATATATTCTATCTGTGTTATGTTTTTCAAAGAATCATTAATAACTAAATAATTATACTCACGATAAACATTGGTACTCATTCATAGACTTTTTTCTAAAAGAATTGTCCTTGTAATTTATATAGTTTACAGAATTAATTATGATATATTTCCTCTGGCATCTATTTAGAAGTTCGATTATATTAGACTAGTTGTTACACAACAAATTATACTGTTTAAATGATGTTCTATTGCCAGCATTACTTCTAATCAAAGCAATTTTATTACACTATGTTTTTTCCTAAAGAAAGGATATAATTCCTCATAAATGCTTTCTGTCTTCCTTTTCAGGTTCCTCAAACAACACCCTTCCATGGTGTGGGCAGCTGGGAAGTGACAACCGCCTTACTAAGATCTGAGATTGAATCTGGGAACTCATCTCAGTCACCGACTGTCCTAGTCTACAAGATAGAACAAAAGTCCTCTTGTGACAACCACAGAGGAATCAGTCTAACCAATATAGTATCAAAAATATTGGCCTCAATAACAATTCGACGCAAATTAAGAGCTCGTGAAGAGAAGACTAGAGAAAACCAGGCGGTTTCTAGACCTGGACGCGGATGTATAGACCAGATATTCACATCACTTCAGGTCCTAGAACAAAGACAGGTTCAGGCACCCCACAATAGTTGTATTTCTCGACCCTAAAGCGGCATTCGACTCTGTTGATAGTGAGGTTCTGTGGCAGTGCTGGACATTGAAAGGTGTGGACCTTCTACCAGGAAACACGCTTGCTGACTTAGAGTATGCTGATGACATAGTCCTGTTCAGTGAAGATGCTGACAAAGTGCATAGTCTTCTGACTACCCTGAGCAACAATGCAACCATGTTCAGGATGCGGTTATCCTCTTCGAAATGCAAAATTTCGCTTCAAGATTCGGCTGCATCGGCACCGGAAATAGTGACAGGGAGTGAAGCAGTTGAGCGTGTTGACCGCCTCACTTATCTCGGGAGTCTCATCACTACTAATAGCCTCGTGACTGACGAAATATCAGCATGGATACAGAAAGCTCGATTGCCAAGTTCAGTGACCTATGGCGTAGGCGAGATATCTGTTTGCTAACTAAAGGTCGAATCTATTGCGCAGCAGTTCGCTCCATCCTATTATTCGAATGCGAAACATGGCCGTTAAGAGTAGAAGATATTCTTAAGTTACTAGTATTCGGTCACAGATATCTTAGAAGCATTGCCCGTGTATCGTGGGACAACCGAGTAATCAAAGCTGTCATTACGAAACGAGTACTAGTTAGGGATGGCAGATCAACTGATGAAGTAGTGAAACTTCATCAGTTGAGGTGGTTGGCACATGTGTTACGTATGCCTCACCACCGACTGCCTCGACGAGCTATGTTTTGTGGTGTAGGAGCAGGTTGGAAGAAATCTAGAGACGTGCAAACCAAAACATGGTACAAATCCATGAAGTCACTGACAAGTGGACTGGGTAATATTGGTAGATGTAGGCTACCTGGTTGGGGTCCGCGAGACAAAAGTCACCAATGGTTAGATACCTTGTATGACATGGCTCAAAATCGTTTACAATCGCGCAGGTGCACCCTTTCTTTGTGTTCTCTGGAATTCTAATCACCCCTATCTTTCTCTTTTTAGACTTATCTCACTGAATTATACTTCTAGAATCATATGTCTGAGCATTAATGTTCTCCATTACTGCTAATACTTCTACTATCACTACCAGTATTGGATTTGAACTGACAATTGCGTCTCTGTGCTAATGTGGTATGGCAACCTGGAATAATGTACGTACGTACGAAGTCCAACGTTGTAACTGACCAACCCATAAATGCTTTCCGATGCGACTGTGATAAATATTTTAATTGTAGAAAACTTATAATGAGTGAAGTCTGTTCTACCTTTATTTCCGCCGAAAGAAGCTAATAATTTGTATTTTCGTTGCTCATACAGTCAACTCCGCCTGGAGCCCTTCTTGGGTTATTGCCAGTCCTAAGCCCGGATAAAAGAGGAGGGTTGGGCATAGGGTTAACGACCCCATCCAGCAGAAATCTAATTCGCTAGTCGGTAGCCTATGCTCCATTAGGTGTAATAGGCGTAGGCGTACATTTAGTTGACGACAACATTCACCTAAATTTCGCATTTTCTTTTTGTAAAATTTAAATTTTATAATTATCGAAACATTTTTGTATTATTCTTCTTTTCTCTTATGCTTTATCTTCGCAATTTGATGGAATGTATGATGAATTTAGACGGCTGAATACAATTTATCAATAACCTAATTCATCAATAAAAAGCATCAATTTCTTTATGAATAATAATTGTTATTATTTTTTATTGGTATACTTTTAGATGAAGCCAAACATTTCTAATGGATAAAAAAGGAATTCTCACTACTTTATTACATAATGATTAGAATTAGTTGAAAAAATGTTTGTTCAAGATTTATTATAAAGTTTTTTTATCTACAGAAAGCAACTTTTTGTATTATTATTATCAATGCTTTAGGTACAATTTTAGAAATGAATATATTCCATCCGTGTAATTTTGATTAAATTTAACTAATCAAGTATGTTTCATTGTAGTTAAATTGTTTATAATAAATATTTACAGGACAGAGAATTACTATAAAGGCAGTTGCTTTCATTGACTGAAAACTATTAATAAATGCTAGTCTAAGTTTCATTTCACCAAGTCAGCGTTGAACCATGAAGCTAACAACAACACTGAAAGATTACACTACCTTCAATCCCATATACTGTTATTATTGTGATACTATTGATTATTTATATATTTTAGTAAACAGATAGTTTCTTTTCAACTGCATTATTAAACAATGCAGTCCCTAACAAAATTGCATTTGGTATATATATATATATATATATATATATATATATATATAATATCATCTTGACTTAAATCCAGCAATCAGTTTCACTGAAGTTAGTAATCATTTCGCTTCTTTTCATTTAAAAGTATGATAGTTATTTTACAAATAATAAACACCATGTAAAAGTATACTATATAGATAAAAAATGAATGAATGATCATAAGCAAGTCAATGCTACTCATATGTTAACATGAAATTAGGAAGAGAAACTTCGAATCCTGTTAGGTGAAGAATTTGCGGATGCACACTGCTGATGAATACCATACCAGGACGAAACGGTCGTCCAGTACATTCAGGCTTCTAATGATGGTTTAACAATGATTGATTGATGATTTCAATGTGCAAAAAAAACACTAATCTCCATAATTCTAATTGAAAATTTTGAAGGTTTAATTTTATTTTTCCTTTCTAACAGTTATTTAAGACAATTGACTAGGTATTTAATAGTCGTATGAAAACATAGGAAGTGGAATTTTAATCAAAGCAAAATTGAATATGACATAATAATGATTAATATGTTAACTTACCGGTTAAATTTCCAGACAGTGTATAACAAGCACCATTCGGTAGAATACTCTTTGTAAAATTCAACACGGAACAATGCCTTTGACCAATTTTACAACTAATAAAAATGCAGAATATATACATATTAACTTTATCAATACTTATTGCTTACTTATTTGTCATCAATAAAATTTTGGAATGCTGTGTAAATGACAAAATACTTTCTGCAAGGTTATTCTGAGACTGATGCATAAAATCTTATTAAAACCTAATCTCATTGAAATAACTTTCTTGAACTGAAACTTAAGTATACAAATATGAAGCTGAACAATTTAGTTTAATTTAAAATGTCATCACATTATCAAAAAAATGCATAATCCTAAGTATTGTAGCAGAAAATAATGATAATGATACTGATGATTATTCTCGCGTTAATTGTATCACAAATATTAGTTCGACATATGCTTTCTCAATTGTATGCCTATGATAGGAATAAATTTTTAAAATACCAAACTGTTAATCTACAAAATTGAAATATTTGATTTAGAGGACAAGTGTGCTGTGCTGTCACTTATGAACCTTTTTAGAAATCATATGTATACTCTAACAGAATTGGAATGATCAGAAGGATACTTTAAAATCAGAATTGAATGTCTGTGCAAATGTTAATATATGTGTTAATATATTGTTTCACTTGAGAATTTAATTACTCGAAATCATAAAAATTGTTCCAAAATTCTCTGGAAAATAAAAAATATAAAGGTGAAATTTTGATTCATCCCTGACTATGACTAAATCTAGTTTGTTTTTGCCTCAAATAATGTAGGTGAAAAAAAATTTCATTTCATTCAAATGCTATCGATAAACTCTGTGTACAAAAAGTAAAAGTGATATGCATAAAATATCAAAATCAATAGTGCAAATGAGAGCGACTATGACATATAATTCATCAGAAGAGAATACTCTTCGACCACATTGTCTAACTGGAAAACCAACACGGCTTAAATATACATTTCAAACATTCTATCGCAGATAACTCACATCAAACATTTATGATGAAAAAAGCCTTAAACTTTCAATGTGACTTATCTGAAATAGTCTTATAAAATAATATGGCTATAACCTGCGATCACTAGTAAGTATCATACATGCAATGCCATCAGTAATTGTAGTATATTCAAAAACTAGGATTGTAGTTAAAATGGTAGTTATTCATTGATTGACTATTACTGATAAGTAATATTCCTTACCGTCTTAACATTTGATCTATGCGATGGGATGCTCTGTCCATGAGTTTGAAAATTGGCATTTGAAGTTTACTTTCCGGAATATTTTCATTTGAACGCCCTTGAAAAGCATCTGAGAAAATTTCGTAGTCAACCCCGCGATCTTGTGACTCAGTTGACTGAATATTGTAAAGTTTAGTTCCCCTTAATTAAAAATAAATGTTATTCACTGTCAGATACGATCATGAGATTATCTGAGCAAAAGTGGTGAAAACATACCTAACACAATAATTGTGTGGAAAAGTTAACATGTGAGAGTCGATAAATTCTACAATGACAAATATTTCAAAAAACACCTGATGAACAGTCATACTCTCCTAACTGTGGTTTTGAACTGTTCACAGGTCTAAACGTTTTTCAACGGAAGCCACAACAACTCTTTAGCAGCTTATCGGTGATAAATTTTGTGTTAGGAGATATAAATATCATATATCTGGGCTTTGATTGCTGTACACTTACAAAAAAAGTCATCAGTAAATCATTTACAGGAGTTACCAAATTACTCACGATGTGTCGCCCATTTGTAAATGACATTGAAACTTAGGTGCAGATGTAATTTACACCTCTTCGTAACAGAGAATAAAGTATGATCAAGTGTTTAAATGACTTCGACTAGTGTAGCTACACAAAATTAGAAATAATTCCTTCTCTTACAAATATACGACAACATATCCACTAAAAATACTGTTCTAACAGTGATCAATGTACTCGTAGTGACTTGAAACTTAATATCATTCCGTAAAATTAATGAATAAAATTTAGATTAGCTTAACAATCGGTCAAACCTCAACTGTATGTAGTTCCATGTTTACTTTCTGCAATTAAATTCAATTGTCTAGTGCTTCAAATGCTTAGTAACTACAGAATTATGGCAATCAGAAAATATTTGAATTTTTGTGAAGTTTTTACTACCATTTACAAAGCAAACTTTCACACATTATGAGTGATCCATGTATACTACTGACATTCAGCTATCAAAGAAATGAATTTTATGCATTATTTCACCTTATTCTCGCTTCTTATTGTATTACTTTGTTTTAAATTGTGGGTCTTCAAACAGTTTCCCGGAACAAATAAAAACCTGTTAGTTTTATATATAATTTTAACTGTGAAATAACTTGTAAGTAAAATCTATTGTAGTTGAGTCATTTTAAACTCGAACTAAATTATAATCTGAGCAAATAGAAATCCACTTACCTTGCTGGATTGATATTACAGATACTGATCAATGGAAAAGGCAAATTACTTTGATGATCATCGTATGCTGAGATAATCATCTTTGATGCCAAACTGTCGTAATGTTTTAACCAAACATGTACTCGATAAGTTATAAAACAAGCCACTGATGTGCACAGCAAAAGACAAATGATCCTGATTAAAAAAATTAAATATTTTCTTTACTGACGTAGAATACAACATTTGTCTAGAGAAGTTTTACAACATTGGCACAGTATATGAACTAAACAGGGGAACAATGGCAAAAAACATGTATAGACAAGCCACTTATTTAAGTGTTACTTTAATTTTACATGCACAGACTGTCTTTGCATGTTAACCATCAAACTTAAATTGTAATAATAGTCTCAAAAACCAGTTGTAGCGAATATGTTTTAGATGCTTACAACTTGCAAATAACCTTAGATAAAAAGAAACGTTTACCGAAAAACGCCCTTTTAGTTATCAACATCTCTTACTGAACAATAATGATTATTACCGCTTGATGCCATATTTTAGATCCGTTTGATTAGTTTTTCGTAAACATAATAATTATGTCACAAACAATTTGTAAGCAACTGTGTAATTGACTTTCCACACGCAATCACTTTACTTTGCTTACCGTAGTTTATATACCTTGGTCCCACCATATCGCTACCTCTCTATATCGTCTAATACTTTCTATCACTCGTTTAGAAATTAATTTATTGAGCATTTCAAATTTAGTTTCTTCCAAAGACAAAAGCTTATTATTCGCTTATATAGGCCAATAATCAACCAAATAGTGAGCCGATTAACAAGATATTTATTTTAACTGTATTTGATCTAGTAAATTGATCCAAACTCGAAACAAACGAGCCTAAACAATCAGATGAGCGACACAAAAACTGAGTTTGTCAGCGTACCATACTTCGTATCTTAGTTTACTGTAACCGTGTTATTAATAAGTGTATGTTGTATGCTGTCACAAGAGAGATGCGAATTATTGTCACAAAAACACGTTTTAGTACTTTTTAAAATTAACACATCATTTATCCTACCAAAAATGACATAATAATCAGTCAATAAAGAAGTCAATTTGGTGCATCACTAGATGATCAGGTTTATGAATCAATAAATAGGATAAAGAAGTGACTGCTTAGCAAAATGAAATACTTCCAGCTCATATTCCTACAATCATTTACCGAATGCCTATTCCCAAAGCGATTGCTACTGTTTGAGAAAGTTTTTATATAAAGTGACTGTTAACGCGTAAACCGATAACTTTTCATTAAAGTTGAAAAATTCATCATGTTTAAACCGCAGAACTTACAGTTCGGACGAAAACAAAAACCATAACAATATTTTCATAAGATTCTAATACCAGGAAATAAGAAATATACAGGAGGGTGACACTGAATATTGTAATATCTGGTGTTAATCGCCCACTAAATAAAATCATATAGCTCATTTAAATCAAAATGGCACTTTGTTGCATAAACTGAATTGTACATGACAGTGAGTTAAAGGTAGTTTGAATTTCTTTTACAGATTCATAATACCGATTACTGATATATCACTAATAAAATTTTCACGTGTTAGCAGACAAACAAACAGGAAAACTCAACGATTTCAATAGTGAATCATACTTTTTAATTCCAATAGACGTCCACTTTGAACAGCAGTGAATATTCATCATGCATATTAAAACACGCGCAATTATCAGTAGCAAGTACAAACAAGAGTAGCCGTTCTAAACAGTAATAACTAATTCAGCCGGATAGGAATGTCTCATAAAAAACAAATGCATAACATATTGACAAATTTTCTCATTTTTAAGAAGCGATTGCTCTGCCAGTCAAATACACTTCATTTTTGGCTGCCAATGATGAACTGACGCTTCTTTGCGTTTTAGAAGTTCTTCCTCTGGAGTAGATGTAATATTTTGTATATGAACTCTTCAAAAAATGTTAATTGGGATATTATTATCAAGTTCCTGTAATATTAAATAAAGAAAAATACTTAAACTAATTTCCGTTTACAGTAAAGTGCAGTGAAGTCACTTTTAAATGTCTTCAAAGTAGTGTTCAGAAAATGGATTTCATTCCATTTATATGTACCCTGTGTGTTTCGGTACTGTAAAACATGGTATCTCCCCAGTCAACTCTTTTAGCTTACAGACAAAATAGCTGTCTGATTAATTGTGATTCAACTGCGCATAGTCCTTTAAGACTGTACTTACTTACGCCTATTAACCCCTATGGAGCATAGGCCGCCCACCAGTTTTCCCCAACCAACTCTGTCCTGGGCTTTCCTTTCCAGTTCTGCTCAACGTTTGTTCAATCTTCTCATATCTTTCTCTACTTCTCGGCGTAATGTGTTCCTTGGCCTTCCTCTTTTCCTTTGACCCTGAGAACTTCAGGTGAGGGTTTGTCTTGTGACACAGTTCAGTGCTTTTCGTAGTGTGTGTCCTATCCACTTCCACCGATCCTTCCTGATTTTTCCCCCACTGGAATCTGCTTTGTTCTCTCCCAAAGTACGCTGTCTCTAATGGTGTCTGGCCAACGAATCCGAAGTATTTTGCGAAGACATTGTCGATGAATACTTGTATCTTCTGGATGATGCCTTTCGTAGTTCTCCAAGTTTCCGCTACATACAGTAGAACTGTCTTGACATTTGTATTGAAAATCCTGATATTGGTTTTGGTTGAAAGTTGTTTGGAGTTTTAGATATTTTTCAACTGTAGAAATGCAGTCCTCGCTTTGCCAATCCGCGCCCTCACATCTGCATCCGATCCACCTTTCTCGTCGATGATGCTGCCCAGATATGTAAAGTTGTTAAATTCCTCCAAGGAATCTCTATCAAGAGTGATTTGGTTGGTGCATGTTGTGTTGCATCGGAGAATTTTGCTTTCTCCTTTATGTATGTTGAGACCTGCTGCTGCATAAGAGCCATGTCATCTGCAAAGTCCAGATCGTCCAGCTGCATCCTTGTTGTACATTGGATACCATGATTCTTTCCCGATGCGGACGTCATCATAATCCAGTCGATTACCACGAGAAAGAGAAAGGTTGAGAGTAAGCAACCTTGCCTCACACCGGTCTTCACCTCGAAAGAGTCTGTTAGCTCTCCTTCGTGTACGATTTTGCAGTTGAATCCATCATAAGAATTCCGTATGATGTTAACAATTTTCTCAGACACACCGTAGTGTCGAAGAAGCCTCCACAGTGTTTTCTTATCGACGATATCGAATTCATTCTGGTAGTCGATGAAGTTGATGTAGAGTGGTGAGTTCCATTCAATTGATTGTTCCACAATAATCCGTAATGTTGCAATTCGGTCAGTACACGATCGATCCTTACGAAATCCGGCATGTTGATCTCGAAGTTGGGCGTCTACGAAGTCCTTCATTCTGTTTAACAATACCCTGTTGAAGACTTTGCCTGGTATTGAAAGAAGAGTGATCCCTCTGTATTTCTCACACTTGCTGAGATCGCCTTTCTTTGGTATTTTGATCAGGTATCCTTCTTTCCAATCTGATGGTACTTGTTCCTCATCCCAAATCTTCTTGATGAGGATGTGAAATATTTTCGCAGTTGCCTCCACATCTGCTTTCATTGCTTCTGCTGGAATGTTGTTCTGGTTTACGATAGTTTCCGGCGAGCTTCTTTGTTGTTTCGTACAATTGTCTCAAGTTTCTGTCTCTTGCATCCTTTTCCGCCGTCATTGCTAGATCTTCCACATATTTTCGTTTGTCAGCTCTGATGCTCTTCTTTACTTCCCTGTTTGCTTATGTGTGTGCAGCTTGTGCGGTAACTTTCTCTGCCCTTGTTCGGTTAGCATTGATTGCTGCCATCTTGCTCCTCCTTTCTTCGATTTTTCCAAGTGCACCGACAGACATTCAATCCTTGTGATGGTACTTCTTGTGACCCAGAACTTCGTGACATGTTGATGTGATTGCCGCCTTCATCCCTTTCGAATTGTTCTTCAATGTTGCTCCCTCTCCATTGAGTAGATCCTGAAAGGCCTGGAACCTATTGGTGAGGGCTATCCTGAATTCATTGAGTTTTACGGTATCCCGAAGAAAGGCCGTATTAAACTTCTGTGATGTTTTCTGTCCTGTTGTCCAGCGCTTCTTTAGTTTCAATTTCATTTTGGCGATCAGCAAATGGTGATCTGAGGCTATTTCAGCTCCTCTCTTGGTTCTCACATCCTCCATGGTCCTTCTGAACTTTTTGTTGATACACATATGATCAATTCGGTTTTGAGTAGTGTGGTCCGGTGAAATCCATGTGGCTTTGTGTATGCGTTTGTGCGGGAATATTGTGCCAACGATGACCAGTTTGTTCAAAGCACATAGGTTTGCAAATCTCTCACCATTTTCGTTTCTTTCTCCCAGTCCATGTCGTCCCATGATGTCTTCATATCTAGTGTTGTCCATGCCAACTTTTACATTCAGGTCTCCCATAAGAATCATCAAATCCTTTGCTAAACATTTCTTGACGATTGACTGCAGCTTTTCGTAGAATTGATCTTTAACGTCGTCATTGTAGTCGTTGGTAGGTGCATATCATTGGATGACGTTCATTGCATTGTCCTCTTTCTTTGTTTTGAAGGATGCTTTAATGATCCTCGGTCCATGAGATTCCCATCCTATCAGTGCCTTTTGTGCATGTTTGGACAGCATCAGTGCAACTCGTTGTGTATGTGAAGCATTTTCCTCTTCATGACCAGAGTATAACCGCAGTTCCGCTGAAACTAGTCTCAGTTGTCCTACCTGTGTCCAATGCGTTTCACTGATGCCGAGCACCTCGAGGTTGTATCTTTTTATTTCTGCCACAACTTGAAATAGTCTTCTGGTCTCCCACAAAGTACGAACGTTTTAAGTACCTAAATAGATGGTTGCTCTAGTTGTCAGTAGAGGCACCGGCCCCGTGACTTCCGAGGGAACTCGGCTTTCATCACGCGACGTCATAATTGTTCTTCTAACTCCCAGGGCAGGTTTAAAATGGTTTGAGTTAGTTTTCCTGGTTAGCGTTTTTTTTGCAAGTTAGTTTTTGACGGAATGGGGTCGCCAAACGAATTTCCAACCCTCCTCCTTTATCCAGGCTTGGGACCGGCAGTAGCTCTGAAGGTTCTACTGGCGGAGTTTCTTTAGGAATGTACAACACAAATTTTCATTTCTTTTGAGGGAGATGAACCGAAGTGGTCGCTCTTCTCTGAAATGCTTGAAACAGTGACTCATCATATAATGTGAGAGGACAGAGGAAATGTTCATTTGAATAGATATAACACCTGCTACTGCAAGCTGATCATGAAGCAGATTAGTAGAAACCACGTCCGTCCATCTGTGCACGATTTGGTACAGCCAGATAACCTCGATCCAGAAAGTGAAAATTTCAGAACTGTATAAAGCATTTTGGTTGGGTGATCAGACTATGTGCTAATCTATTTTGGTGGCCGCGTTAGTTTTGATCTAGAGCTAAGCATTTCGAGGACCGCAATCTGGCTCATATACATAAAGGTAAGATCTATTTTTGAAGGTTAGGGCGTTCGCGCACAATACCGAAGGTCCTGGGTTCGAATCCTGCGAGGAGCAGGAGTCGTGGATGCGCACTGCTGATGAGTCCCATACCAGGACGAAACGGCCGTCCATTGCTTCCAGGTTTCTAATGGTGGTCTAACATTGATCGATTCATGGTCACAAATAAAAACTATTTTTGAAGGCTTTGTTTGTGAAAATCCCTCCGTGTATGCATTTGTAATTTGTCTTTATTGATTCTTCCAGTTGTACATTTTGTCAGTCTGTCCGATTCCATTTGAGATGATAATATTTGTATTTTATTAAAGTTTTTATTTCTTCTGCCATTACTGAGTTTCTATGTTTCTTTCTAAGCTGTATTATGTTGTTCAGGCTGATACTTAGTTATGGCGACAGACATATTGATTTGTTTCTCTTTTGCTTATCTTGCCTTCAGTTTTTCTGGTTTTCTCGAGGTTAACACAGCATGGTGAGAAAAACACCACCGAGGGCGATAATTTCGCCTTTATTGTATTTCAATGACCTTCTTTGTATAGCCCTTAGTAAAGCCACCTTTCATACTTGTGGTTTACCCGATGTGTAGATTGTCATCCCTCCGCAACCTACACTTCGAACTCTTTAATCAACTACTTGCTATTTGATAATTCCTTACTTCCATGTTTGGATTCTTTTTCCATGTTATCGGAACTAGAAAATGAAAATTGTCGAAGCGCGTGGCCCTTTCGACGATCTCTATGGCCTCCTCGTCTTCTGCGGATACTGACTTCTCACTGGAATAGACATGAGCTAACTCCACATTAGGAAGCTTACGTATTTGTTCTTCCAATGTCTATACTTTAATAGTATTAATCAAAACTCTTTTCCAAAACTCCGTGTGTGATGCAGGTCCAAAAACAGTCCATCTCAGCAACGTTTTCACAGCGTAAGTGTTTTTCCTTCCGTCCTACCCCTGGTCCAACACCTAATGTGCTTCCGAAACGTCGCAACCAATCAACAGTAGAACTTCTTCAGAGTTTAAAAGCTGAATCAATACATCACTTAAATGCGGCCAATTAACTAGGTTTTTCATCGCCGAATTCGTTTGCTTATGCCCTGGTACACTTGTCGTAATCATGGCTCCTTCAATCACAACACGTTTAGACCAATCTAAAGAATAAACTTCAAATGGCGCACTCGTCA